ACCACGCGGTCAGTCGCTGCTGATCGGTCCGGGACGGCTCCGAGTCAGGCGACTTCGGCGATCAGAAAGCATTTAAATTTATCTGTCTTGAATTTAGTATCCTTACAAATATATTGTCTGAATTTGTATTTCATGGTATGAAACAACACATAAAGAACATGTCAAAAAAAAAAAAAAAAGTTCAGTAACATTTCTTTATTGAGAAAACTGCTTCATTTTGATGCTAGTGTTGACAGTCCTGAGTCACCTAATGGATTTACAGCTGTTGCTAGAATCTGACCTATGTCTTGCCAGAACACTAGGGCAGCTCACTAAATGTGTCTGTGTGAGGCCGCCTCTTTAGTCTTGGATTGCTTTCCTGTATTGTGGCCTTGAAAAGTCCTTCTGGCAGATCTTCTATGGCCATGTAGTGGAAGGCTCAAGAAGCTTTGGGATAACTCGATATGAAGATTCAGAAGTTTTGACTCATTATTTGGCCTGCTTGCAAGTGCCATTAATTTAGTTAGCTTTTATGCACCTAGAGACTTGCTGTAATAATTTCTTTTCATTGTTTCCATTGTGCTTATCCTTCCTGTTTCAAATAACTATCAAAAACTCTTGAGGGACTATCTTTTTTTTTTGAGATCTTAAGATGTTTTGCAGAAACTATTTTTGTACAGTATTCCTGTTATTCCTCCAGGCTCTCTTGGTATGTTTGACAAGTTTTGATGGAATTTGTGTCCATTTTCTCCTCAAAAGTTCAAGCACAGAACTGAAATCTTCTGTTATTTTTAGGAACGTGTTAGGAACTGTCTTAAGTAGTTGAAAGCACAGCAGTAGTTAAAAATGAGTATTTTCTCTCTGTACCAGAAGTATGATTGGCAATTTCTGTTGCTTTCATGAAAAGTATACGTAGAAATGAGGAAAAACTGTATGACGTTGGAGTCTGTGAAGTTAAAGTTTTAGAAAAAGCTTTTCCCTTTTTCTCTTTATCTCTGACCCAGGACATTGATTTATCATAACATACATTGATGTAGATAAATTAAATGCAGGTATCAATTTTTTGTTAGCAAATCATTTCCTCTTGGAGGTCATTTTAAGAGAGCTCTGTTTTACATAAACAGACTTGATGATTTAATAAAAACTGACTTGGATTTTAGCAGCTGTGCTATTCCCAGAGAGATCACTTTTCATGTGGTTTGAGGATTAAATTACTTTTGTGCTGAAAAAGTTGCTTCATTGGCACACGTATTTCCTTACAGTAGAAACACAGCATTTGTTTACTTTGCTAACTTTGTTTATTAGTGTAAGAGTATGTCACCCTGTATTATCTGGACATCTGATGCTAATATCTTGAAATGACAAATCCGGTTTAATTATAGCCTGTATGATGTTTTTTGTTTGTTTAAATGCATTTATGCCAGGTTTACTATAAATTCAGAGTATGGAGCTAGGTTGCTTTCTGATACGATTGAATTTGCTGGTAACTCACATATTCTGTTTATTCTTCTGTCAGCATTCTTATTCGTGAGCACTTGTCACTCTTCAAACACAAAGCTAATGACCAAGGAGCTCTTTAAAAAATGTAATAGTACAGCTGGATGACTTAGGAGAAGCTGCTAATGGTCTGCATGTTTAGAGATTACATTCCACTTCATTTTGACTCACAGTCGTGGCTTAGTTTTTCTGTTTCTGAAGCTGAAGAACTCAGACACCCTAACAGCCAACAGTAAAGTTCCTTACCCAGTATTGTCCTAACCAGGCTGCATGCCAGAGGAGCTTCCCACAGGCAATTGTTGAGGAATTTTGGGATGGTCACAGCATCTGGGCCAAATTTTCTGTGTATGATTTTTTTCCCCCCCCTCTCTTCTGCAGAACCAGAAAAATTGTGTTCTTGAAAGTATCTTCTTTCAAACTAACAGCACTGCACTCAGCCTGTTTAATGGTAGGTCCGAGGAGCAGTGTAAGCTTTCCTATAGCACTTCTCTATCCGTGGTGAACTTGTTATTTCTCTGAGGGGAAAGAATCCAAAGTTCTTTGGTTATGGATACTTGATTTTACTGACTGCTCTCTTAAACAACAAAGATCTTTGACTTATTAGTGTGCTAATTAAGCTGCCCCTTTACCCCTTGGGAGTGAAATAAGTTTATTTTCTCATAATATTACAGTGAAAAGCATATTCCATGTGAAAATAGAGTGGTCTTGATCCTTGCAGGCATCTGGCTAATACCTTGAAGCATAAATGTTAAAATATTTATCTTAATCTATTAACACTAGCTGCTTATTTATTTTTTATTGAGGATAATGAAAATTTGCCTGTTCTTGCTCCTCCTTGTGCATCCTGGAATGAACCATAGATTCATGAGTTTTCCTCATGAATTCACAGTTTAATGTCAGAAAAGAATGTTGATACCACTCAATTTGAATATACTTATCCTCTGTTTTCTTGTATAACTAACAGATATTATTTCCTCTCATGTTCAGATTTATAGTCCATGTTTTGAAAAGCATTCTTATTTTCCTTTAAGATATTTTTCTACTTCCCTTACTGATTTTTAGCCACTGCGTAATGTTACTGACTCAACCTCTGAAGGCTTTTCCAGTTTTGCTGCATTTCGTGAAGGGATAGACATCAGGATCAGGGATGGCATACCAGGCATTGTTACTGTTTGTTTTCAGTCAAGATGTTTCCCTGCCCTAGTAGATGCTTTCCCTTTTTAACATCCTCAGAATAGATTAAATGCTATTGCTGTGACATTTGCTAAGTGCTTGCATTGCATAAGTTATTTATGAGTGTCTCAATTTTGAAATCTGCTATCATGCAGACATAATAATGTGTTTGTTTTCAACTGCTAACTGCTTTGCATGCATTTTTACTTTACAAAGTTCAGATCAGTTATGGCAGTAACCTGTGTTTTTCAGAGACTTTGAGTTGATATAATTTTAATTTCAGCAATGCGTATGGTACTTGCTTTGGCTGCATTGAGGAAAGTATTCTTTCTCCCAGAAATAACCTACGTATTTCTCAATTAAAGTATTGCTTTGATGTGTAAGTCCTGGGGGGAAAAAAGGTTTTCTTTTTTCTTAACAAAATTAACAAAAGAAGCTAACTCTTGCATGGCTTGCAGAAATGATGAAGGGAATGAAGGAACAGGGAGAAATGTTTGTTATTCAAGAATGAACACTGCAAAAACTTATAAGAATGTAAAGAGTTATTTGTCACTGTCCTGTAACACTGCAATTGAGTCTATTTATAACTTATTTCCTGTACTTAAATATATTAACATTTGACACTTCTACGCACAGTGCAGCCTGAGTATGAATATTGGATAGATTACATTCAGGTTTAAAGAATGCATCATTAAAACATCTAAGTGTGTTTTTAGTATACTGAGTTAAATGTAATACTTTTTTGCTCTTAAGGTAACATAGGAAATTGCTATTTGATAGGTGATATCCAGAAATATCAAGTCTTTTTATCCTGCTCCTCCAAAGTCAGCAATGGACGGGAAGAGGAATCAGGATTGTTTTGCCCAAAATTTGTGAAACTTCAGGCTGCCTTTTAGCTTTTCCAATGTTGATCTTAAGAGAATTGAAATAATATATTTCAAAATTAATTGCCCTGAGGATGTTTTTTTTCTCTTGGTTGCATGGAAGGTGCACATTCTTGAAAATAATACTTGGTCTTATTTCAAAACAGATTTCAATTATATAGTCAACTTAAGCTACATTTTGTTATCTCAAGCAAAAGGATATTAACAGAAGCAAGCTATGATGCTTGCAAAGAGTGCTGCATGGCACATTAAGAAATGATCCATGGGAGTGTGTCCATTGTAATCAAACTTCGTTCCCTTAGAGCAGAGCAAACATGATCAAGCACAAAAATCTGAGAAGTGTCGTTAACTTTAATCATTATTTTGTGAACAGAGAAGGTGAGGAATCAGATGTGATCTTTTGTACATGAGGTGGGTGGGGGAGGTGTCTCTGCAGACAGGATGGATGAGAATTAGAAAATGATCTTAGAAAAGCACTGGAGATCTAATGAGCTTGGAGACTGAGCTCCTTATCTGTCATATACCTGAAACTATACATGTTATTATGAAATATATGTAAGTAAGTAGAACTGCATATGACAACAGTGCCTGACAAACTTTCTTGTGCGTAATGATACCACAGTA